TCTGATTTAGGGTTATTGAGTGCTACTGAAATAGAAGCTATTTACCAGGCCTCTGATAACTGTTTGGGAATTCGCTATACTGCTGCAATTTTAGTCAGAATTAAGTCCTGGCATATCTGGAGGAAGCATTGACAAATCGGGAATGTCTTGACTAAATAAGGGGGAGTTAAAAGGAGTACTCTCTAATTGGCATTATTGGAAATGGCTGCAACATTGTCATTTTGTATTCGAGGATTAGACTGGCAGTGGTGAAAGGCAGCTGTAAGGGATGGGGGGAGTAAACTGATCACGGAATGAAATAATCGAGAAACTGACTTTTAATGGCCCTGTTTCTAGGCCAGAGCGAAATAATACCTGTTTTGGTGTCCAGTGCAATCAACTGTGATCCGATAAGTTCATCTCTGTAAGGTGATTTCTAAATTGCTTACTTTATTTTTATAGGCTCACGCTTGCTTAGCTATTTTTCTTCTGATAGAAGTAGTTTTAATTTATAGTAAATGGTGGGGGCTCAGTTCACTGTTGAGATAGAAGCAAATTTGAGAAGTGAGCTGACAAAGCTCAAAACAATCTGAACTTTAAAATTGCATTCTTTATGTACACAATTACTTCAAACTTACTTTGCTTTATCGTGCAAGAGATCCCCCCCCCCTTAGTTCTTCGCGGTGGGAGTAAGGAATGTGACGGGAGGGGGGAAAAATAAAACCCTGAATGTATGCTATACTGCATAGTAGTTGCATGCGTTCCAACCACTAACTTTTCTTGACTTCATGTTTTTATGCCGTTTAAAACAGAGAACTTTCCCAACAGAAAGGAGAGAAACCTTTCAATGAAATCTAAAAAGTTTTATGTGCTTATTTCCGTTACTTTTTGTTACGATAAGCCGTCAGTATTTGTACCAATGCATCTTGTCTAGACTCGGTGTTCTTATCTAACTAGGCAACAGCATCTCAGTTGTTGTGTAGTAGTGCTTAGGTTGATGGTTCCGTATGTTTGAAATAGTTGGCCCGCCATGCCTTGTAGTCCTCTGCACAGTGTCTGGCCTTGGTTGCAGTTTTAGTCCGTGTATGTTCTATGCTGCTGTTTTCTGGCTAGTTTCACTTAGGATGGTTGTAGGACAAAATGGAAGTATCCTCACTTGGACAACCCTGAAGAAAACATTTTGTCGGTTTTCAATCAGATGCTATTTTTATAGAACTCCAAGTCTTGCCCTTTAATGGCTTGGTACTTCAGTGGCTTTCCAGAAGAGCTACGTTTGAGTTCCGAGTAGTGTTAGAGAACCTTGTGCCCTGTTCGACGCAGCTGTTCTTTGAAGAGTAAATGCTGAAGGTGCCCAACAAAGCTAGTATTTTACATTTGGTTTTGTCTTTCTGATTGGACTGATTGCTAAAATCTTGAGTGTCTTTAATGCAAACTTTGATATTTAGGTTAAATGCAAATTATATCAGAATAACATTTCAGTGTATTTTGCAAAGTCATCCCATTTCTCTCTTCCTTCTTCCTTCCCTCGGAAGCAGACAAAAACCTGCCCCTTAGTGGTTGTCATGTCTTAAGCTACAGAGCTTTTTGCACAGAGAAGTCCTTTGAAAATGATGGGAGTGGTGACATCTCTGTAATTGAGTGGAGATCAACCAGCAGGTGGTAGAAGTGATACAACAGTTTCTGCGCTGGTGAAAGGGAAGTTATCTCCTTCTGGAAGCTGCGAGGCCAGTGTCTATAAGGGTAGTAAAAAGAAAGTTCCATTTTGTTTTGCCAAGTGTGTTCTACTCAAAGCGCACAACAGAGATCCGTTTCTCTTAACTGGCAGTGGGGATGCTTACAAGTGCTCTAGAGGCATAGACACAGTCATGAGGTGAGCTAGGCTTTGAACTTATGGCACACCAATACTACCTCTGGTCATGTTCTTGCTGTGGTGCAAATGAAGTAGCTGCTTCCACTTAGCTTTTAGTGGGGCGGGGGTGTCTACAGAATTGGTTAGAACAAAGAGGCTGATGTGCCGTAACGTCGGTTTCTCTGAGTTACTTGTCTGTAGGACTGTGGCATGACGACTTTATCCCAGTATAAACCTGTGGTCCGCATCCAGTTAGTTATTCATCTCTCTTCTGCTTTTGTTTTGGCCCTGGTGGTGTTGTAACCGCAGGGTAAGCTTAATTGGAGAACTGATCTGACTGAACACCAATTATTTATGATAGGCTCTTTTAGTATGGCTGCTAGTTTGGAGGGGGAACAAGCGAAAGCGGGTGAAACAATCCCTTTTGGCAGTGTTATGGATATATGCTGGAACAGAACTTGTATCCATAGTTTAAGAATATGACTTATCTCAAACCAGATTTAATGATTTGCTTTTTTTTTTTTTGCAGGAAAAGCTTGCACAAAATAATTGGCACTAGCGGTAGCTCGAGGGCTTACAAATACCTTCTTTAATATCTTGTGAAAATTACATGGAAAATTATCAAGTTATTGGAGTTTTCGCTTCTAAAGTTTCTCATAGATTTTAGTCCGGTCTTCCTATCAGACAGGCCTGCCTTCAGGTGTTCTGTAAGATTTCTGTACTGTCCAGAAGAAGAGTTTTATATGGAAAGAGTCATCTGTCATTAGGATATGCATCTGTTTTTCTTACTGTCTCATGACTGCTGGAATGTTTGAGTTCCTCCAAGCTTTTGAGCCCATAAATTTTCCTAAAATGTTGTGGTAAATTAACTTCATGCATACTGACTTACTGACTTCTGTCTTCAACATTTGTTTAATCTTAACAAATTAATAACCCATGTGTTTTTAAGCATATTTATAAATCTCTTGACGCTGCTTTTTGCTATTTTAAATTTCTTTAGCCTTAATTTTTGTGAGCTGCCTGTCCCTTTTCTGTCTCTACAGAAGGATTCTTATCTTGTTTAGTTGCTGTGCTGAATGAGGTCCTCATGGTGGTGGCAAACTGATCTTTGACCTGGAGAAGCAAACAAATTTACTTCTAAAATTACAGTCTTTGGGATCTGTCCCAGTTATAAAATGCCTCTTTCCAGCAGGGTGATATCTGACCACAAAACAGTGCCAATTTCAGCAAATGTTGCTCAACTTCTGGAGGGTTTAGGGTCTAATGTTTAAACAAATATAATGCATAAATAAAATGTATTCTGTGGGGAGATTTTTTTTTTTTTTTTGCCTGTTGGGATAAAGCCCTATAAAGAAGAAAAGCTGTACAGTGTTTTATGTCTGCCTCGATGTCCCTTAAGTATCTGGTATATTCAAATCTTCAATATAGCTTCTCTTTCTCGACACGTTAAAAGGTATTGTGAAATTCCTAAATATCCTTTCACCTCGCTCCCGATGTGACAAGTGGCAAGTTTTTCATTAAGGTATTTTGGCATCCGTTGTTGTCAGAAATGTTACTTCTAGTTAGACTATGTTTTCATTGTGTGTTTTGTGGGTTTTTGAGGTTGAGAAAGCAGAGTTCATTTCTTATGTTTCCTGCTGCCTATCCATGCTGCGTGCCTGATCTGCTCGCTTTGAGCTCTTGTTCGAGAGGCAAGAGCAGTTGGACAAAGAAAACCCAGAAACGTGGCAGTACGGCCATTTAAAAAGGCCAAAAGAGGAGCCGTGTTAGAACAGAGTCAATGATGACTGAAGAAGAGTAGAAGTAGTCGCTAGAAACAACCGAAATGCTTATCAAGACTCGCTTTGTTCAAAGCTCCCAGCAGAAGATAAATACTTAGTGCACTTTGATTTCTAGTGGTGACTTAGCTTTTGAGGCTGGCAACTTTATTAGAAATCTGGGTTTCAAATCAATTCCCAAATTCTCCCCTTCAGCTTAGGGTTTTTTCTGTTTTGTTTTGTTGTCCTTGTTGTCATCGAGGAAGGCAGGAGCTATGTTCTCTCTTGCAGTTGAGCCTCTTCACGCTGCAGTTTGCAAGTTCCTTGTTGGATATTTAACTATCCAGATCAATATGTTGACCTTTGCTATTTTGATGGGGGCTGAATTGGTTTAGAGCAGTAGGGTAGCGTGTGTCCATGTGCTGTTCAAACGCGTCTTCTACGTTGGAGATGTGTGAAAAATCAGCTGTAGGCCTGGGCTGCCGGTGGAGTTGCTGGGCTACTGAACGCTGTGCTATGATGGAAGCTAGTGCCATCATTATGTGTCTTGGGACTTCTGGTGAGCCCCTGGCATCTTTTGCTTTTTTCCCCCTTTAGCTAAAGGGGGTGGGGGGTGGTTCTGAGTTTCCTATCTAGGACATAGAAAACTTGCGATGTGCAGCCTGCGGAGTCAAGCAGATGGATGACGACTCGTGCAGCTCTGTTACAGCACAGCCAGATTTTAAGGAGCCACCTAAATCCAGCTGTTTGCTGCTTCCCCGGTGGCTCACTGTGTTGGACTGCTTGGATACTGTTGCTAGTGTGGTGATTTTTCAGTGTGAAAAGAGCAAGCTAGTTTCTGTCTGTCTGTTAATGTTCA